ATTAAATAAAATTCAACTTATTCGATTGCTTGTTGTTTGCACATGTATACGCATTTTGAATTTTTGTTTGCACATTTCTACTAAAAAAGTTATTAACAAAACAATTTGGGAGAGAGGGAAACTTCACAGTAACCTATCCTAACTACGATCAACTAGATTAAAATAATTTTATTATAGATTTTCATACGCACATTTCCAAACATCGTTGTTTTATATATTTTAAATTTAACTTTACACGCATCAAAACTCTTGCATCATCATATTCGATCGTTCTAAATAATTATTTTAATAATCCAACGTAATAATCAGACATAATTATCTATATCTAGTCTAATTTTCATGTACTTTAGCGAAATACAATTTTTTTTCAAATCTAATGTAAAGTCAGAAGAAGTAGCTCGATCGCATTTATATAAAAGATCATCCAAATAAACATCGTGGATACTAAATCCGCGAGAATCCATGCGACCACTTGAACATTAAGGACAATGACGGTAGAGAGGAATGAAATCGTTCGTAAGAGATGAAAATAAAACGGGCCGATTCGGAAAGCGGCCTCGAATCAATTCGTATTCATTTAGTGCGCAGGTGTTGCTAACGGTGAAAAATTGTCGTTACCTTTTTCGCAGTGCTTGCGGCCAATGAAAGGCACTCGTTATTTCGCGCCGGCAAACGATGCCGCCTTAGCAGGGTGGATGCGGAACTTTCGAATGATTTATCGTTCACAGCGTTCTTTTGCCGCTCCCTCAACAAGAGCGACTGCAAGTGTCTCAAAGCGAGAGAAAGATCGAGCTTTTTGTATTGTTATACGAAAGTGTATATTCATGAACGACAAAGTGTGATTTCTTATGTTGTCTTTTATAACGCGTTGTATTTGTGCGATCGATTTATTGATTACAGCTTGCTGTGACGGATTTATAGAGATATATTTATAAGTGAATTCTTTAGGAAGCTAGCTTTCATGCTTTTATTGTTATATAATTGACTGTATTATGGTTAATTGATAACTTATGCTTCTATCCTTTTTTTTTGTTACAGGTGAGTACTTTCCATCGATCATAATACGTGTTTATGCGGTAAGTTACACAATTATATATAAAAATGAATTACAATAGAGGTGCCAAACTTTCATAAAAGTAATGGGACCGTTTAGAAATAAAATTTAATAATAATTAAGAAACACAAATAATTCAACTGTCGTCAGATTATAAATGATTGAATTTACTATTAATTTTAAAATAAACTGTGCATTTTTCAATTTAAAATAGTCTAAAAGATTATAAAATCATTCAGTCATAAATGATGGAAAAGAAGCGTGGAATAGTGCAAATAAGATTTAATTATGAAAGATTATTTATTTCTACATCGATCACTAGGTCATGATAAATTTATTCGCTAGTGGCTCGGTCGACGTTGCGAAGGCTTTAGAGCTTTAACCGGGCGACGTGATAATCTCAATAGCAGGAGGCAGAAGAGAGAGAGGGGGGGGAAGAGGGGAGAGAGAGAGAGAGAGAGAGAGAGAGAGAGAGAGAAATGCGCGCGTTGATACGATATAAAGCGGAATTTCATTTTAATACGACATCAAGACACTTTGCGAGAATTAATTGAATCCATTTCGCCGTCGCGTCACATACCGCCTCTCGTCTGGATCTCTTTTCTTTCTCCTTTCATTTTTTAACGGCTCGCTTCTATCGAGAGGAACGCCATTTCACCACGTCGTACTTAATTACAGAGTTGAGCGAACGATAGTTAATTACACAATTACGCCGAGAAAGGAAGCGGCGCATCTTTGGATTCGCACGTGGCGTCGTGTTCCTCACGAAAGCATCATGTTGAGCGAAACATCATTAAAATATAACATAAAGATATAACATAAAATAATATACAGATTTATATACAAATTATAAAAAGAATCTTGGAATTAGAGTAATTTATCTTTGTTTATTTTGTGGTTAGTGTTTCGAAAGTAGATACATCCAGAGAAAGATTTCTTCGATTCATAGAAATCTTTCTTTGGGTGTATACAGATTCTTATACACTCTATTTGTCTATAAGTAATGTTTACAAAATGAGCTTTTTACAGAAAAGATATTCTTTGCAATTAATTTTTAAAAATGGCTTTTAACTTGATAATTTATATAAGATAACCCTGCATGGTTTTGGTATCCAATATAACCTGCTCGTTATTTGTGTGGATAATTACACGATAAATTCAACAGATAGCACTAGTAAATTATGCAGGCTGTCCGTCCGACTTGATTGTATCAGTTTATTGCTCAGTTTGTTTATTCTATTATTGTCAGTTTGTTTATTCTATTATTGTACAACAAAATGGAGAATGTCGTAGTCATGATGTAATATTTTGTAAGTGAGTAATTGCTTTCTATCTACGAAAGGATAGTTATTAATTTTTGTAGTTCATATTATTGTAGCTCTGTATTTATACATTCATCTGCTAAATCATGAGGATAAATGAATAAATAGATAAGTCAATTGTTTGGAAAATAGTTCTTTGCGTATTCTCACATGTTAATAAACATGTTCATATTTTAACAAACTTATAATTTTATAAAAATATTGTTGGATCTTATATTGATCTATTTCTCTAACATATTTTTTATGACAAACAGGAAAATATACTCTGGCCATATTGGATATATTAAGAAAAATGCAATTTTTTTTAATTTCTAGTATATTTGTGTAAATATTTGAAACTGTCTCATACTTTAAATATTAAAAAACGTTTTCTTTTTTGAATCTGGCCATCAATTTTCAATTGTGTACTTAACAAAAAATTAAAAAGTTCATGAAGCTTAAGTAGATCGTATAGAGTCTTACTTTTTCCTTTGTATTATACTGTAATCATGTTGTACAAATTTCAATCTAATCTGTTTAACGTGATTTGTCGAAAAAAATATCTCTTTTATCAGTTTATTATTTTATAATATAGGGTTGACACTGTCTCGCTGCTTTCCATGATACGACGTGATAGGACGTAATGTGACATGACGTGATGCGATATACCATGACAAAGCGAGAGTCCAGGCTGCGTGCGATAACAATACGCCTCTAGACATCTTTGCGAGAGTTATAATTTGAGAAAGGTAAAAGGAGAGAGAAGTTTGAAGGAAAGTGAACGTCGAGGAGCAAATACGTCTATAGAATGGCGAGTAGAAAAATTGCGTGATACATGCCCATATAGACGAAGAAGAGGGAGAGGTTAAAGGAGAAGGAGACTGAGCCTTCTTCTGCCATACTGTAAGCCGGGGATAATAACGTGGAGCGTCTCGATTCACACTCAGCGATGAGGTCAGAAGGGACGAGAAAGGAAGGGTGAGGAGGAAGATCTCTGAGCCAGATGTAAGAGAAGGATTATCTCGCGTCGGGTTTCGAATCTGATAGCAAGCGCTCGGGGGTGGAAGAACCAGGCGAGCTTCTCAGAGGCCACGGTTGCGGTGAGAGTGGGTAGTGCTTTTAAGGTATTGGTCCGGAAGCGGGGTGAGAGTTGTCGAAGAAAAGAGTCGTGCCGAGCTGCGTTTCACGAACGGTACCACCTTGACGTAATACGCGTGTAAAATGGAACTCTCGTGGCAGCAGCCGCTATGATGATGATGCCACTTACTCGAGGAAAACGTTCTGCGTGATGCGTGGGGCTTATCGTCTACGTCGATATAAATCGCGCATCTGTTCGCTTAGGAGTTTTATGTCTCGGGTCATCTCTCGGATTTGCGCGTTGGCATTCAAGATTAGCCCGTCGAAATTGTCATTGGAGCGTTTATTTCTGATTGCTGTCATCTAATAATCATCTCGCAAGATTCATGACTTATCAATTATCTTTTATTATGAATAGCCTTTGAAATCTAGGTTAAAAACGCACTTCAGTGTCGTAACTTTGAGGAACTTTCATCTGGGCTGACCGAGTTATTTGATTTCCGATGCGATGCTTCTGCAGGCCGATCTAAATGGCTTCCGACAACTTTGTAGGCAGACGCGGTTATCAAACTGGCGTATATCTATGGCGCAATGCACCATGCCAGAATTTAAAGTATTTTACCAAGTTTTTTATGTTAATATATTTTGAAGTATCAATGAAATTTATCAATGAGAAAATATCGCGTAAATAAATCACGTTGCGAACCGTGATGTATACAACTTATAAGATATTTTAATTCTCAAATTGTATGAATAACTTTTATTATTTTTACTTTTACATTTACACTCAATCTTTTAAACGTTTATCCCTAATAGTCCGCATTATTCGAGGGACGTTCTGGTAAACGTTCTTGGGACATAGAGATATTCTCTGAATGTTCTTTAGAACGTCCCTTGGAGATCTGTGCTATTAGAGATGATAATTTCATAATTGTTGGGTACTTATTGTTGAATTGCTACTATTGTTGTGTGAAATAATTTTTGTCGTGCACTTTCTAATATATAATAGTTTATACCAATCATAAGGGTTAATAATTTTTAATAATATTTATTATTTGAATATTGTCAGAGGATTCTTGATTATTGACTAAAATCTTAATTAGTTTTATTAAAATTGAAACATCGACATATTTGCAATTTTATAAAGAGAGATTTCTATGATTGTTTCACACAGGGTTATTGAAATTATCAATATCGATGATCACTAAGTTTTAAGAATATATTTTATTATTTATTTCGTGGTATAATATTATGTTTTAAAGAAATGGACTATTCATTTTTATTAAAATAAAAGTTGTTTCCGTTATAATAGTTCTCATTATTTTTAAATGGAAATAATAAAGATAATTTTATTGTAAATTTTTGGACTATTTTCACATCGTAGATAACTACTAATTTTTATATTAATTTTATATAATTTCATAAAAATTTAATTGAAAATTTTTTTGAAATGTAAAAGTTTCGTGGAGATAATCATATTTTCATTGATTAAAATCTGATTAAATATATGATACATTGCTAAATTTATGTATCAAGAATACGCCACAAAATAACTGCACTGCTTTCATGGCAGGTTCTCCTATGGGACTCGTTCCTCTCTAGGTGCTTCCTTGCTCTTTGATCTCCGAACCGTCCCACGGAATCGCTCACGTGACTTCGAGTTTAAGAGCAGTTTGCGGATCCCGAGATATACCTCCCAGAGCGGATTAATGTCAACTGAAAAAATAGACAATTCTGTTATCCGTGTAACGAGGTATATCTAGGAGTTTCTCCTGGGTATTCCCGGGTCAACAGGCAATAGAATCCCGTCGATCGGACAGTCATGATCTGCGAGGATTTAGTGAGCGAGCGGGGATATCTATCACGTCTTTGAGTCTCAGATTGATAAGAGTTGAATCGGATTATTATAGTGTCTGTGCGCTGTGTCAGTTTTGTCTCTCTCTCTCTCTCTCTCTCTCTCTCTCTCTCTCTCTCTCTCTTTCTCTCTCTATCTCTTGAAACTTCTCGCGACGCCAACAATTTCTCGGCGAAATCGGCGCTAGCGGCTGCGAGGCGGCAGGTGTTGCTCGGAAGTGAAGATGATGAAAGATGACGGGCCGTCGCCCCGGGTGAGGATCTCTCTGACTGGTGCCTTCCATCGACCCCGTCAGTTCGAGCATGAAATTACCGGGCCGACTGAGACGCGAGTGGTTGCTTGCGCGGAGATGCCGCAGGATGGGTAAACGAGATAGGGGGTTGGAATCTGTATGTGTGTGTGTATGTACATTCACTCACATACATATATATATATATATACACACATGTGTGTGCGTAGAGCGTTGATGGGTGGTGGAGGAAGAAGAGGATGGATTATGCGGGTGAAGGAGGAGGAGGAGAAGGAAGAGAAGGAAACGTCAGATAGAACCGTCGTACGAACGCGAGAGATGTAGATAGAAAGATAGGAAGAATCCATGAGCGAGATAGAGAAGACGTGGAGGGAGCTAGAAAGAGAGATGTAATTTATTAACTCCAGGATGAGTAACATCCCGAAATTGTAGGACTTGGAGTAACGTGAGGTGCGAAGCGTTCCACGGATTCGCCCACGTGACTTTGAGTTTAAGAACAGTTTGCGAGCATCAGGATATAGTTTCCAGAGCGGATTAATACCAGCTACCAACAAATCTTCTATATATATATATATATATATTTAACACCCTGTCAACTTATATCATTGTAATTGTTTTTAAAATATTGTTGTCATTTTAAAATAACTTACTTAAAATAATTTCTCGCTAATGATAGATTGAAGAAAATTAATTTAATGTCATACGTGAGAAGTTTCGAAAATCATTGAGTTATTGAAAAGTTTCGAGATTATTTATCGCTTTAAGCGTCATATTATTTATCGAAGATTAACAAAAAGCTTTGATAACTGAGTAAATAGCTTAATCAGACTACGCCATAGTTGAGAAGAAGGGAAGAGAAGAGATGAAGGCGGAGGAGGGGAGGAGAGAGAGAAATGGGGAAGATAAGAGGAAGGGAGTGCCGGTGAAATCAATTATTGTCATTCTAGTCTGTATAGTCACCATCCTGATGTATGTTGACTCTGTGATGTATGTTGCTCTGCTTGTGAGTAACACAACAATCCGTTATTCGAGCCGAGTTGCAACCTCTTCGTAACCACCTTGAAGTTTCTCTCTTCGTCTTTTCCTCTTCTCGCCACTGTGCATCGTCTTCGTCGAATTGCTGCACTATCTCAAAATACCATTACATCACGAGCAGGCAATTTGTCACGAATAGTGCTTATTAGGCAATTCCACGGCATCGACGCGTCTACGATGCCGTGAATTTCATTAGGATCGACCTACCGGGATTGGTATTAGGCGCCGTTCGTCTCGTTACATCAGCATTTCCGGTCGGTATGCGGCGAATCTCCGTTACTCGGCCAGAGGATCGTTTAATCCTGAAGCAATCGCTCATAATTAATCTGCGCCATGTGTCGCCTTCTTAACGAGCAGACAATGACGATTGGAAGGCTTTCTCGTGCCAGCTAAAGCGTTAATCTCCATTTCTTCGATGAAGGTCGACAAGGACTCCGTTCGTTCAATCCTTGAACGAGAAAACTAAGTTAGATACCTTAGCTACTGTAATGAATTTAGTGAGAGGTGACAAGAGAAGCAAACAATTTGGGAAAATCGAAAAGACGTGAAACTCGATGGAAAATCACAAGAGAGAGATTGTTAAAATTCAATTAATCTAATACAGCTTGATTTATCTGTAATCTCTCTCTCTCTCTCTCTCTCTCTCTCTCGTTAGAATAAAAATAGTTTTGACTCTAAGAATAAATCAAATATAAATAAATTACCTATAAGAGCTTCCACAGTTAGTATATAAATTATATATTTATAAAGCGATATATATAATAGGATATATTTTGCAAACAATTATGATATTTATGATATGTACTTACCAACCAAATTAATTATAAACATTTTGACTCTGGATTTGAGTTCTGTTCGGTGCAGAAATCAAGTATAAACTATTCAAATATGCTATAAAAATTCTACCCCCGTTAACTTTCTATTCTAGCCTGTTGCATCTGTAAATTAAAAAAAAAATGTTTCAATAAGATTCATTCATTCATTCGATGGCGCAATATCCCAAAATCGGGACAGTGTCTATCTTTCATGAGGTTTTCGTAACAATGGATTTTTTTCGGAATTAGGTTGTTAATTTAATGTCGATCCCCTCTCCTTGGAGAATCCATACATATATTTAATGATAATATATGGGACCTACAGTTTAACACCGGATCCGAACGGCGTTCAAACGGTGATCAAAGGTCTCTTAATCATCAGATGGGGCATTTTTGGCTCCTTAAATGCGCAAGCCACTCGACGCCTCTTCAATAAGATTGAACACTTTTTTTTAGCTATTTTCACGAATCACTCGATATAACATGTCCATAATGCGAATATTGCTCGGCGGAAACGTTATGGAATTCCCGCACGTAAAAGTTAGCTCGCTTCTCTTGATCTTGTGATAAAGTTGCAACTTAAATACGCGTTGCATTTCGACGAAGCGTGCGAACGATCGTCCACGGCTGGGCGGTTTATGACGCTGCGATTCCGTATGATAGGAGGAAAGGGAAAAATTTTATTTCGCGGTGCCGTCTCAGTAACAGCTTGCACAAAACTGCCGGTGATATACGAGCCCACGCTCAGCTACCTGGAACGAGGCCATCCGCATTAAAAATACGCGTTCGCCATGCGCCGCCCGCCGAAATTGATGGACGAGCCGCGCGCTACCTGTAATTATAATTATAAATCACTAGGAACGACGGACACGAGCGCGGTGGCTTATACGAGTCGCCCGCGGCGCCGAAATTTATTTGCCGAAGGGCAATTAGGAATTTGAATATGCAGCGTGGTTTTTATGCGTCGTTATGCGGGAGCGCCGGCATCCAGTTTTCGGTGGGAACTCGTATTTCCTTCATGTTTTTTCTTCTGCAGCGGGGAGAATTATTAGTGGCTATGAACTGAAATGATGGCGACTTGGTGGAAATATGTTTCTGATTTACAAGAGGCGTCTCTTGAAAGAGTTGCAACTAATGATTTGTCTAATTTAGTCTGGGGAACGTACAATTTTTGTTACTTTAATTTTTATAATTTTTAATTTATAATAATTGTAAATATTTAATAGAAAGTAATGTGTTTACATTTAAAAAAGTGCAATTTGAATTTATTAATTTTATTTTTATAATTATGTAAACTCGCATTATGTACATATAATTAATAGTATGTGACTCATAATTATTTATACTATCTATTATCTTATTTTTTTATTTATTACACATTCAGATAAACGAATTCCACTTTGGAAAATTATAATATATGCCTGTACGACAATAATAGATGTGTCTCTTTTTCTCAAGGTGTAGTGTGGGAAATGTTTCGAGAATTACAACGGGATGCGACGACGACACACACTTTATTTCAAATAAACTACGTTGGAACATGAAACTCGGATTTTCTTTCCGTTTAACAATCTCTTTCAACGAGAAGTATTTCTTATTATTATCAAGGACGTGTGTAAAGTGATTCGGGCACGACCTGAGATTGCCTCCTTACAGTCTTTCGCGGGGATAAATGGAGGCGGGGAGTTAAGTTTGCGAGTAGTTTAGGGATCTCGTCGTCGTCAGCTGGTACCGCAATAATCGTTGCGATTCAACGAGCAGCCCGTTCGAAGCCCTCTACGAGAGTACAGTTTCTCCGAAGTTTCAGATCATTCATGGTTCTTGGACGAAAAGGCTACTTCATACACTTCCGCCGTCAGCTGGCATGGTGATAATCGTAATTCGCGAAGAATTCGAGATCGTATGTGCAGCCGCTTCAATATCGACATCGCGATTCCGGTTTTGATATGCAGACATAGTTTGAATTGACAAAATCGAATTTATCTTTATTGCGCGCGTAAATAAATGTATAATTAGATTCCCGCGGTTAACTTTATAGATAGTGCTAACAACAATATGTAGGTATAATTTCCACGTTCAATTATTTTTATATTATAGTAATGTTGACCTGCATTTCGAAAGTTTATGTAACAAATCGCATTTAGACACTTGACTTTACACATTCAGTTTAATTGAAAATAAATATTAAAAAGATGTATTCGCTATTGCATGTTTAACTACTTTTATTTGTCGCGATAAAACCGCCACTAGAATAATTTGTGAAACTTATGGAGACAATATTGTGTCGGAAAAAATGTATCGAGATTGGTTTAAGACTCCTGACTAGTCTTTGCTGACGCATTGGATCGTAACGTCAAAATGAGAAATGACATCGTAAAAGACAAGTGAAATAAAAATAGACATAAAAATCATAATAATATGCTTATACTAGACTTACAAGCAAATAAAAATTTTTCTTTCTGTCATCTAATAAATTATCAATTAAAGTAAGGCTCGATTGCATCAACGTTACTTTGACCTTTTAAGCGAGACTTAAAACTCTTTCTATTTCTCCCTCTCTTTCAACTTTAAAGAGAGAAACAAAGCCTAAAAGATTTGCCCCTAAGTGCCCTTTGTTCTTTGCTATCAAATATTTCCTTAATTACAAATTAAGGAAAAAACTTGAGAAATGTATACGTGTAACGTTGATGTAACGTTATAAAATGATCTCTTATTTTTGGTTTATTGTCGTAAATGTGTATTTTGGGAAATTATCGTTTCCAAATTCGCGATTTCATATGAAATCTCCACAAAGAGTAAGGAGAGGTCAGAAAAGGCACTCGACAAGAGGAAATCGAAGGAGAGAGCGCTCGCTTTTCCCTAATTTGGCGCTTTCGATAAATTTAACAAGCTCGTCACGAAGGAAGGAAGGGCTCTGTGTGTCCGGGCACAGTGCCAGAGAGTTCTTGGCGCGTTCGCACAGCCACGACACCATTACCGTCCCCTAGGTGGACCCGGGTGTCTCCTGGGGAACGTTCGAGACACGCCGGATCGTCGATGACGTCCACTTGGATAATACGGTTCCTTTTCCTTCTGCCTTCTGGTTCCCTCCCCTGCCTTCCTCGGCCGATTGTAGTCGAACTCTTGCAGACTGACATCGTTAGGATGTCTTCTACCATGTCGAAACCGGTCGGGTGTCCTTGCGTCCCGCTTGTGCTGTCATCGTTCGTAAAATTCGCCCTCGTGGTGCCAACGCGCGCGCTCGCCGAATAGAAAACACGTCGATTACTGTTCGGGGTTGCACGTACGTCCTACGAAAGGTCCTTTTCCGATGCAAAACAGGTCGGACGTACTACTGCTGGTCGTACGTCCTGTTCGTTTGCAGTGTTCCCTCTGTGATGGATGGAAATGAAAGGCCGGGGTTCAATAACATGCTAAGTCATACGACGAAAAGCCGCCTGAGACACTCTAGGTGACTATGTTTATTAACAGGCTCGATTATGTTCTCGATCGGAAACTCTTGTCTCTTTGTTACAAGCGATACGTTGAGGGCTGAACGGATGCAAGGGAAAATGTCAGTGTGATACATACGTGTACATATATAACAGCAATCTAGATACATAGTATGTAAAACTAGTTTATGCATAATCTAAATTTTAAGTGTGTTGTGGTGCGTCTTTATCGTCTGCCTACTTAAATTACATATAAAGTGATAGTTTAGCTGCTTTATCCGCAGACTATGCATAAAATAACACTATCTCATGATGCACGTCAACAAACATGCCATTATCTCAGATAATTTACAGTATAAATAACGTTAACTTTCTTGATTAGATTTCTTATCGCAACCGCGGTAACTTTGTTAAATCTCATTATTATTTTACTTTAATTGTGATGAATATTGATATATCGCATTTGTTATTAAAAAGATTAAAGTAGAATAATATAAAAAGTTTACAAAGAAGAGATTTAGAATAAATGACAAGGATGTTCGAATTAAATGTTCGAATTTTTAAACTTTGTAAGCATTACATTTTTTTAAATACCAAATTAATCACTTGAATTAAATTATTTGAATGCCAATATTTTGATTTTTAAATAACAAAAAAAAAATTAAAATGAAAGAGTCAAAGCAATGTTTTCGATCGAGATCTGTGAAGGAAGAGTCACTGGAAGTCGGGCGATTCATCATTGCGCGTGTAATCCAGATCAAGTTTTAACATTACAAAGTCAATAAAGCTACGGTAAGTCGATTGATGCGGAGACCGTGAATTGTTCGTCGTTTAAAATTCAAAGGATAGCAGAAGTCATTTTGATAGAAGTTCTCAGAACTCGGTACACGTACGTTACGAACTGGTACTATCGGCCATCATCGTTTCGCTTTCGCATGACGACGTCGACGACAACATCGACGACAACAACGGTGACGACTATGACTATGATGGCGATTCAGTCCGATTTTGGTGCCTCTTTCGCTATTCTCTGATTCTTTTCAGCTTGACTCTCACGGTCGTCTCGCCGTGGAAGGCAAATTGCTCGATAACTTTTGCCACGGCCGTGCGTCACCGGTGCCCGAAACTTTCCCGTAAAGTCAGGCGTCGTCTCAGAATCACGCAGCAGCTGCTGCTGCTGTCGCCGCTGTTACGTGCACAGCGTGTTCACTGTAGAGCACAATAGGAATTTGACTGCATGATAGATATTAGGTATACGTATAGTAACAAACTGTGCCAAAAGTGCACATCATATTGATTTATATAAAGTTCTTTCAAGGCG